CCCCCCCCACCCGCCGCCTCCATCACAACAAGCTGCCTCGTTCGTTCTGCTCTGCATGGAAAAACTTGTCGCCTGACGCTGGCCCCAGCTGACTAAGAGCAGGCTGGTATTTGCCTGCATTTTCTCCTGCTTCCCTCTTTTTCAAGAGGGGGACGTCATTCTCCAGCCCTTCATAGGCAGAACCAGGTAGATGTTTTTCTCCTAGGAGGAAGAGCAGGGAAGATGGCTGAGAAAAGCTTTCATGTTTGTTCGGGTCCATCACTCCTTGGGTGCTTTTTCTTGCCGAGATCAGCCCAGCCCGGGGCAGGCGAGGAGGGCGCTGCATTTCCCATTGTTCTCCAGCTAACGGCCCAGTCCTTGCAGGTTCTCTGGAGCCCCGAAGTCGTGCCAAACGGCATCCGCTTCTTCCGGCTCAGCCCAGACGGCGAGGAAGGCTACCCTGGCGACCTGAAAGTCTGGGTCACCTACACGCTCTGTGGTGGGGAGCTGGCCATCAACTATCGAGCCCAGACCAGCAAGACGACGCCCATCAGCTTGACAAACCATGCATACTTCAACCTAGCTGGGCAGGTAAGCATGGGGAGGCCCACCACCATGGAGCAGCTGCAGGGGAGGGACAGGAGCCCTTGGAGAAAGACTTCCCATGCGATTATTGGGACCAACACACTGGTTTCCAGCAGTCAGGGCCTGCTGGCAGGGCCCTAGAGAAGGGGGCTGGCAGACAAAGTTAAGACTGTTGCAGTCTGTCCCCATCATCAAGCATGGGAAGGACACGGCATCTGGAGACACAGGGGTGGGGGTTGTCCCTGTGGGCAGGGGGTTGGATGGAACCTACAAGCTGAGAGAGGACTGGTTCAAGTAGACCTCAAGCGAGCATGCGTTATCGCAGTGCCTTGGGAACAGATCGTGAACGTTAGCCCTTCTTTTGTGGGCAACGGGGACTGCCGGTCTCTCCTGCTCACGAACCCTCAGAAGCGTAACAGGAGGTGCAGAACCGGCGTCCCCTAGCAATGGGCTGCCTTTTCTTAGCTGTCTGCTGTGGGTGTGAGCCTCTCGGAGGCAACGTGCTGAAGACCTCTTCTGGATGGCGTAGCCGAGCTCAGCTCAGCATCTAGATGTCCCGATCAAGGTGGCGAAGAGAAACACCCTCATGGAAAGGGGATGTGATGGGGCCAAGGTTGCACCGCGGGGCAGGGGCAGGACCAGGAGGGCATGCAGGGGTCCTGCACACCAGTCTGGGATCCCATCAACTTGACCGCACTGTATCTCAGCTGCGTTTCAGTTTCTAACTGGGCTTAGAGGAAAAGGAGCTGGGAAATAACGTTGCTGGGCGGGGAGCACCGAACAGGATGGTGCAAACACATCAGAGCTGAATCAGAGACCCTTAAAAGGATCATGGAGAGCGAGAAACATCCCAAGCAGACACCTCTCCGTGCAGGGTGTCTGCTTATGCCATTGCTCGAATAACGGCTTTGCAGATAGCTTACCCTCAGTTTGCCCTCCCAGGGCTGCGGTTATATAAACACCTACAGCATGCAACTCGGGCATGTTTCCAGAGGAACACGAGACCCTTGGGCATGAAATTGCTGCACAGATTAGGCAGTGCTGTGCACGCTCAGCTTTGCTCTTGCTCCCCATCCGGCCCAGCAGGTTCCTGACAGCATCCCCAAGGCCGCAGGAGAGGAACAGGAGCGCGATCCCTCCCTGCGCCACGCGAGATGAGTGGGGAAGATGCGCTGTGCCCCCCCCCCAAACTTGCTTCCTCCCCGCTTTTGCCTACTCTTGGGTGCGCAGGGACCAGCACGCTTCGGCTAGTCAACCTGCAGGGTGGTAGCATTTGGCGAGGCAGAAGTTCAAACCGATCACCCCAAACCCACAGGATTTACAGCCTCCGGAGCCCACACAAGTTTTTGCCAATACAGGTAGCTTTGCCCTCTGCCCTCTAAGGAGGAGAGGATGGAAGAGGAGATGCTGTAGGACCAGGCGCTACCAGACCAGCTCCAGTAGCACCATGGAGCATCACCTCCCAGGTGCTTTTAGGGCTGCAGCACGTGCACGACCCCCAGACGGCTGACCAGCCACAGCAGGACTCTGAGTATTTCCCATCCTCCCGCAGGGCTCCCGGGACATCTACGACCATGAGATTTCCATTGAAGCTGATTCTTACCTGCCCGTGGATGATACCAAGATCCCTACTGGTAGGTGGCGTGAGACTCGCAGCACGTGGGCGAAGAAGCTTTCACGGACAGGGATTTGGGGGACCCAGGGAACAGCAAGAGCAGGGCAGGCAGAAAGGGCTACAGCAGCTCTGGACACTGGTCCGAGGGGGCTCATCTAGGAGACAACCTACCTGCAGCGTAGGTCTAAGGACCACCTGGGGCCTGAGACAGGAGCGAGAGAGAGAAGTTGCACCTACAGCATCGCTCAAGCAGGGACTGAGGGCCTGGGGCTGAGCGTAAATAGGGCTCCTGGGCCCGTAGGTAGGGGTGTGGGGGGGTCCCAGGTGAGGCTGCTCCGTCACAGTCAGGCTTATTGGTTTTGGGGGTGGAAAGCCTGGAGCGCAAACTGCTTCCTGAGCCCCCTTTCGCTTGGTCTCCTCGGCCTTTTCGCCCGCTTTGCGTTTGGGGAGCGCGGCGCCATATTTACCGCTCTGATGCTGACGACTGTTATTTTGTGGGGTTTTTTTTTTTTTTTTAAACCCTTTTTTTAGAAGGGCAGACAG